TCCGAATAATATTATTCAAAGTAGTTTTCGAGAGACATCAAAACATGTAGCGATACTGTTATATCAAGAACCGCAGATGTTATTGATCGCTTTTACATTATTTATTTTATTTTTTGGAACAGTTTAGATGATACTATATATAATATATATCCTGGCTAAAAAATTAGGTAGGTACATAGATAACGTACGAATCGAAATTTTATTTTGTAATGATTGAAATTTTAAGATGATTTTTAGTAATATTAGCAAATTTTAACTGTTTTCCGCAAACTGTTGGAGGAAAATCAAAAGCTCATTTAAACGTCGTGTACAAATATGTCATAATATCTCGTAGAACTCTAGAAGAAAATGGACTTTTCTTTATTTAATATCTATGTTTAGTATTGATTATTATAATTAATCTAAAAATTAAATAAATAATTTAAATATTTCGAAACAACTTGAAGGGTACTTATATTTTTATACTTTAAATTTAATTTTATTTATGGATATTTTTTGTTTTTTATAAATTATAAATATTCTTTTATAGGGAATTAACATCGAATCCTTAATTTATTATAAATGCATTATTAATTCTAAATAGCTACAAGTTACACACGTTCTCTATAAAATCGCTGTAGACACAGATACCAAATAGTTTTTTATTCAAAGAAACTAAATTTAGAAATTGGGCTACCTTAACTGACTAAAAAAATAATTTAAGAAAATATTATTTTCTATACATTTTTTAAGGGGAGAAATGGCTAAAAATGTATACCCACGAATTCTATTTTTTTACTCTCAACCTTCCATTAACGAATGACGAAATAGTGAACACTTTATCGACTAATTGCAGTGTAAAATACTAATATTCAACATTGAGTAAGTTGATAATATTCTCTATAAATATAACTATTTTTTTCTTTTAATTAAATTAATAAATATTCTAAATTCAATAACTGTAAAATTGATTTCAAGTTAACAAATACTACTAACCCAACTTCAATTAATAAGGTAAATTTATTTTTTATTTAAAAAAATTGTCATTAAGTATAAATAAATAAGTAGTAGTAGATTTAACAAACGTCAGTTATATATCTAATTCTGCGGGCTCTTGCCTATAGTTTGTTCTAACGGCGATAAAGTTTAGTAACTTTGTCAAGACGCTCGAATAAGTTTTGTTCTAGATTTTGCCCAACTTTCGTTTCAATCTTTAATTATCCACCGAGAATAAATAATGGCCATTTAAACAATAATGTTGAATGATAGTGTTTAAACAAGTGACATTTTTTTTTTTTTTTTATAATTATTTTTATTCTTAAATAACAATAGGTACTTAGATGAATTTTTTGTAATCATAACATTTTTTCTGACAAAATAGTTTTTAATGTAATTTATGTATATATATATGTGTCATTATGGAGTTCGTATATGCAGTATAACTCGTGCAATGACACTTTTTTTTTTAATGGATTTATCGATAAACTGCAAAATATTTTCATCGCTCAACTGATTTTTTCAAAGGCTTAATTATCAAGCCACGATATTATTGTATATTTTCTACAATCAGTGGGAAATAAAAGTAAAATAATATTTTACAAAAATTACAAGAACAGTATACGATACAGATAACTAGATTTATTCATGTAAGTAATAAAAAGTTGAAAAATCGAATTTTATGTCTAAATTCTCAAAAACATATTCTACTTTTCAACAAAATCTAAATCTATCGAAAAATAAAATAAAAACATATACATTTTTTCTTTGAATATTACAGTACTGTAAATCGTCTAATATTTCCTATACCATTGATTAACAATTCGACTAGTTGTTTGCCTTCAACAGAATCGTTCTGTATAATAATGCAATATATAATATTATTGTAGACAAAATACATAGTACCTATTACCGCATACAGGTGCATATACTGCGTTATAGCTTTATAGGTTATACCTACGTATATTACTACCAATTCTACTACTGCTACTAAATACTACATACGTTATGTATGCGTATCCTGGTATGTATATAATATATATATATATATATATATAATATAGGGACGTGATCCCTCGAGGCAAGTCGTAAATATCGCACACACAAGCCCCGCCAAACCCGCCGCGTCGGTCGAGATGAGTTTGGCTTTTAAAACGTATACCTACGCGCGCGTTTTAATTTATTGATATTTTCGTATATTATGTTTAATTAACTCATGAAAGAGGAGGTGTTTCGGCGATCTTTATGCGACGTACGTGTGGCGGTATTATTATAATATTGTTTTTATCGTATCAATAATCAAATTGCGGTTTGTAATGTGCACAATATAATATTTTTGGTAACTTATTAGCCGAATACAGTGAAAATATTTTATAACGACGTTCGGACGACCAGGGAAAATAGGTCATAATAACCGACGGCCATAATTTATTAGTTGTATATATATATAATGTATAACTAATCAACCAATCGCTTGAAATTCGATTTGTATACAATGAATTCGTCAGAAAAATATTATGCTATATTAAATATGAAATTAAAAACCGAGGAACGCAGTGAAAACCATTAAGAAAACGACATAAAATTTAAAAAAATATATAATAAAGATAAAACATAGTTTTAGAGGGATTTAATGTAATCTTGCATTCGTTAAATCGCGGTTCAAAGTCGAAGTCGTTTCTTATTGGTTTCCTTGTTGTTTGTCGCATAAATAAATGGGTGTTTCGCTAAAACAATGTTGCGGTTTAAAGCTATTGGTTGGTTCGGTGTTGTGCTATGTCATGATTTATCAATCTTCTTCAACCACACACACACACACACACACACACACATACATGACGTATAAAAGTCTTACTGCAGTTACGTTTCGTTTATCATCGTGGTGACCCGTAACTACACTACACGTATATTACGCTGGGCGGCATTTATTGATGAGATCGGTAATATCGTTTGCCGACCGATACAAATTGAATTGTATCTATCTGGTACACGCACGTCGATGCGGTCTGATTCTATTATATAGTCGTTCCTTGAATATAGCATGGGGTATATAACGCGCAAAATCACTTTTACGAATGGTCAACGGTAATTTGATTTTTCTCCTCTTTTCCCGCTCTGGGACGCTGCTGTCGCCGTCTCGCCGAGGATGACGCACGATCGAATAACAATAAAATCGAAACGAGTATTAATGTCCAAAACGAACAATACTTATCTAATAGATTATATACTGCAATCAGTGCCCATACGCTACAACCAAAAGCAGTAAAGTTAATGATAACAGTTTACTCGAATAGGCTAAACAATAATTTTGAAATAATTAATGAACAAACGTTCATAGCGTTAGGTTTATACTTTATACGTTTATACAAAATAATATTATGTCTAACTATGAAAGGTTTGAGCTGGATCTATGGAGAAACATATTGATTCAATACTCAGTAGAAAAGAATTGATACATTTTTTTTCATCATTTTTATTTAAAATAATTTGTCTGGCACAGTTAATTTAATCACGAATAATTTTAACACTGCGTTTTATTTATTTGAAATCATTGTTCGCAATTTGATTAGAGTGCGATAGAAACAGTAGAGCTAGAGAAAACATTTCTTCACTAGGTATAGTAGTTGGTCAGGAAATCTGTGATTTAGTTAGCGCGGGTCTTGTGATGAGTAGTCTCTAATCTTTGCCGCCTGGAAATGACGACGGCACTGAAAAGAAAAAAATGGCCAGCACGTGACGTTTACATATCAGAATACGAACAATTTATAATATTTTTTTTTTATCACCATTATGATCGTATAAGTGCACAACACATCATCGTTTAATCATTAATACAATTGCATCGCTTTATTTGTAAACATATTACATAAAATATATATTACGGATTATACAGATAATATTATTGTAGTTTTTTCGTTTTATAATATGACGTACTTACATAATAATAGGTAGGTATAAACAGATATAAGCACATAATATTTTAATGTTCTGGCGGTGGAAACGCGAAACGCTGGTGCGAGTAAAACATAACCATTTTAATAATGATGATAATAACATAATAAAATTCAATAATAATGTATAATATATAGGTAGGTAATATACTGTTGAACGATTCGACACATACGACAATAATTATAATATTATTTCAAGCACGACATCGAAGTACGTTAAAATATGTCATTTAAAAGACCGACGGCGGCGGATATTCGAAAATATGTAATAATAATGATGATGATGATAATAATAATAATAATAATAATAATAATAATAATAATAATTATAATAATTATAATAATAAAACGAATAATACAACGACATATCGAGTCACACATGCAGTAAATCGACCATCGACATGGTGTTGTATATATATATAAAATAGTAATAATAATAACGTTAAAAATGAAATTAAAAATGAAAAAGAAAAAAAGAAACTTGAAGCGTTTTCCGTTATCAGCACCGGTATCGCCATACCTCCATACCTATATATAAATATATATATATATATTATATATACAACGATGAAAAGCCATCGGTCGTACACAATCCGTCGGCGATCGATTAACTCCACTCGACCCGCGTCCCCAGCGAATTTCGGCCATAGACTATCAGAAGTCCGGGACAGCGGCGGTCGAGAGTCATCGCGCAAAACCCGAAAGACGGAAAACGCTGTACACAATAATAATATATAATGTTCTATACACATAGACGTTTTACAGGATAATATTAGGAAAAATAGATCCAAATAAACGGCGAAAAAAATCCGACGGCAAAACGAAAAACGTCGAATGAACGTAATTCAAAAAATAATTTAATGAATAAAAACGTTTATAACAGAGGCGTCGTTCGTTTCAAACGATTTTTCTCTCGGACTTTTTCCGTTCGCCTATTCTGACTTTTTTACCGTTTACCATTTTACAGACACGTAATAATATAGTTATTATCATACAAGGTAATAAACAAAAGTATAATACACGAATCGTTTCCGGGGTGACGGCGCGCAAGGCGGGAGAAGACGCTTCCGGCCACTAGTGCGGCGTCGTCCGGTGGCTGCTGCCGCCGCCGTGAGGCGAACGGTCCGACGAACAGGCGCGCGGTCGGCGTGAAGACCGCGGGACCGACCGGGGTGGTGCCGAACCGCCGACAGTTGCGGCGGTGTCACCAAGTACGGCGAGAACCTGAATCCGTTCGCTGCCGCGACCTGGTGTTGTTGGTACAAACTCTGGTGGTGGTGTTGTTGCTGTTGTTGTTGTTGTTGATGGTGGTGCTGTTGTTGTTGCTGCTGCTGGTGGTGATGGTGCTGCTGCTGCTGCTGCTGATGAGCGGCGGCGGCTGCAGCGGCTGCGGCCGCCGCCATGGCCGTGGGACCGCCGCCGCCGGCCGCGGCCAACTGCTGGTAGAGGCCAGCCGGGCCCTGCATCGACGCCCACTGGTTCCACAGGTGTTGGCCGCCGGCCGCCGCGGCCGCGTTGTATATGCCGCAAAGCGGGCCGTACGGGCCGCTCACCGCGGCCGCGGCCGCTGCTGCGCGCAGGAATAACTGTGACCTGGCTGCCAGCACGGCCCGTTCCTCGGCCGTCAGCTGACTGAGACCGCCGCCCGGGTCCAACAACGGCGTCCTGAGCATGTGGTGCTCGCTCAACATTGACTCCATCGTTTCCCTGCAACAGTCAACGGTCGACCCGTGTAAGTCGGTGATAATCGTCAATTGGTTTATGTGGGGAGGGTATGGTTGGTGGTGGTGGACTTAGGGTGTTTAGAACTATACGTCTCTCTCTCTAATTGTGCACTGATAATGTTGAGTGAGAAATAAATGCATTTAAAGTTCATGAAATAGGTGTGTGGTATAATTTGTAAACCATTACACCCCGTCCGGATGCAAATTAGACTGCTTTTAGAACGGTTTTGCAAAACAAAAACAATTTCGTTCGATGGTGTGTCGAAGTCGAAGCACTAGTTTTAATATCATGAAAACATTACAAAACTTGTCGGTCGAGTATTACCGACTACATCAGTAATTATATTGGTCACGAGGCGATGAAACTGATCGCAGATTTTGTCCGCGTATCATATTATTATATTTGAATAATGTGCAGGATCCACAACGTTATTAAATGCCTATATTGATTCGCAGGACACGGGGTGGGTCTTTTTTTGTCTAGGAAAATAATTCATTCCCAAACTATATTTCCTTCTCTCACAAGTGTTTTTTATCCAATTAAATATATTTTTTAATAACTTTTAAGTTCGATTTACCTTTCGAATTCGGTCAGTCTCGACGAATCCCGGAAACCTTTGGCAAACGGATTGCTGTCGATTTTCAACTTGGTAATCTGTAAAATAACAAAAATTAAAATAAACAAATATAATAATATTATATGGACAGTAGCAGAATTCGGCGGTACAGTATTACATTAATAAATAATAGGTAAACAAAAAACACTGTATTTTTTTAATATCGCTATTTAATTATTAAATTTATTTTGTTCTTAATTTTTTTTTTTTTTTTGGAATAGATTAAATTAAAATTCTAAGTCATATCTCTGTTATAGGTTTATAGGTGTATAGTATAAAAGTAGGTAACCTATGTTTCAATGGCTCGGTAAATAGAATATAATTTTTATAATAACCGTATTGTATTTTTTTTTTTTTTTTTTTTGTATATAGATTATTCGTTTTTTTATTTACTCGAATATTTTTCCAGATAATCATGAATTCGTGATGTTAGCTGTTTAAGACGCGTTATATTCAGTTAATACAGAATTAACCAAATCATCGCAGTATAGGTATACTACCGGTATTCTCAAATGTTATAAATACCGGATACTACCTGCAGTCCTAATTTAAACATTATCGTGTAAGAGCGGTGGTGAGCAGACAAACGGCCGAGACAACAGCATATGATAATATGACGTATAATAATTATAGTTATCGTCATCGCTGTAGTCATTGTGGCCAAGACTCGAATCCGTGACATTGGGCGTGTGGGTCGCAATATTGGTAAATACCAGTATACCACATATCATAATAAATTATACGCGGGATGCCCTGGCAACGGGTGTCTCTCGGTGTATGTGCCTGTGTATACATAATATGTACTTATATTTACCATGCACATAACAATATTATGTAACACATATATTATGCTCGCCTGACGACTACCTGCCCCGCTTATTTGTAGTTGTCACCACGGGGAAGATGTGACGGGTCTGCGTAATGGATATCGATTTGTTTCGGTGAGGTTTCGAACAAACAGCCGTCATATACGTATATTATACAACTAAACGTACGTATAGTATGTACATATACACATTGGTTACTATAATAATATTATACATTATTGTGTTTATACAGGCATAGGATACCCGCGGTGTGTATTTATCACGGCGCGAAAAAAAATACCGTTCCGAACGAGACTTTGATAAGTGACTGGACCACCCCCTCCCATTCCACCACACAACCTAAACGAGACGAGACGAAGAGTGGTTAAAAAATAATGGCCGCCCATAACCGTATATGTATGTATAAGTAAGTATAAGCGTTTAACATTAATATACATATATATACCGCGGTTACCGCACTCGGGTGACGTATGAGCGTTTCCGACGAGGTGTCGGTGCTGCGCTCAGGGTGGCCTAATTATATATGCGACGTAGACGGACGACGACGACGACGTGAGAGCCGTAGCTGTGGGTGTGGCATTTCGACGGGCCGGTCGAGCGCGGCGGGGGAGGCTTCGCACTTCCGGTAACCGTATTACACATACCGCGCCAATGCTTATATATATAACAACACTTATACTATATACCTATAATGGTGTGTGTGTGTGTTTTTGTGGCACGTCTCAGGGTCGTCACGTACGACGGTCATCAAACCGCTTTTTACCGCCCCTCTTCCCACCCACTCACCCACTCACCCACTCACCGTCTCTATTGCAGCCGGTGGTCCCTGCTTGTATATTGTACATATAATAGCTAATAGTAATAATATACATATGTATCACATTGTATTATATTATAATATAATAATAATGTATTATTACTATTATTACAAATAAAAATATATCGTTTCGCGTCGTTTTAAGAACAAAAAAACAAATTCACGTGTCCTGATACGATAAGGTCCGGTCACGATGGCTTTCTACGAACAAGACGTGACGATTTCGGATTTCAGAACGTTATTCATTATCATTTGAATATTGTATCTTCGATGGATATTGTACGACTATCGACAATCGTGGCGAGAAAATATGATGCACGATTGTCGGTAGGTATGTCTGCAAATACAATATGTCTAGCAAAAATAGTAAGAAATAAATCTTAAAAACAATGTGATGCATTCGTTGTCTATATATCGCGGGCTGAGAGTAAAAAGGTTCTATGTCAAAATATCTAATTTTTCAGGAGAACATTTTTAAGGTTTGTTGTCAAATATTTTTTTATCATATAGGGATAATTGTTTATAATTGATATCAAAAAATAAAGCAGGTTTTCTATAACAATATAACATGCGAATATAGCATCTCACTATTTTAGTTGATTCGCTAAAAATAAAAAACAACAAAAAAACAGTTTAGAGTAAAAAGGTTCTATACAAAGGACTATTTTACTCGCTAAATATTTTGTATTTAATAGATAGAACCTATTTACCCTATAGCCCATTACACAATTTTGATCAGTCAGGCCAACATATTAAATATTTGTAGAGTCCTCTTCCTCAAATTCATTTTAGCGATGTATTTCAATTTATTTTATTTTATTCTATAATATTATACTTTCACCACATTATAATACTATGATATTTTATGAAAAAAAAACTATAAACAAAACTATGAATATGAATTTGTAAGTAGATATCCACTATCCAGCAAACAATCTATTTATAAATTGTATTCCATAACAGTCCCATAAACTGATAACAATATTAAAATAACACGCACTCTTATTATATCCAATTGGCGGGATGGGAAACAAGTCTTGTTTTGACCACGGCACAATATAATATTATCGTATCGACATAATATTAATATAAATTATTGTGTTATTGGTAGTAATAACAAAGGATAGGACTCTTATACTCTTAATAATTTTTTTTGTAATACAAAATAGAACCTTTTTATTCTCAAAAAAAGTTATGGAGTAAAATGATTCTATCTAGTACATTCAAAAATAACGACTATATTAATTTCAAAGACATAGAACCTTTTTGCTTTGCGTATCTCATTCATTATTTACTCGTATCAACATATTTTCTAGCTTAAAACATGCGCCATTGAAAACGTATTAGAAATATTTGAAAACCTCAATTTCGAAAAAAAAAACATAGAACCTTTTTACTCTCAGCCCACGATTAATTTCAAAGACATAGAACCTTTTTGCTTTGCGTATCTCATTCATTATTACTCGTATCAACATATTTTCTAGCTTAAAACATGCGCCATTGAAAACGTATTAGGAATATTTGAAAACCTCAATTTCGAAAAAAAAAAACATAGAACCTTTTTACTCTCAGCCCACGATATTTTAATGGTTGCAATGTAGCGTAATAATAAAATATACTAACACGAACAACACAAATTATACGCGTAAGTACAATCAAAAATGTATACATACGTTTAATATCATTTAACATATTTCTATACAAGTGTGAATTGCATTTTATTGAATTATTATTTAAATTATCGATGATTCTTTATAGGTAAAGTAAAAATTCGTAGAGAAAATATATTACAATATCCTTTTGACGGCGTGCGCAGAATACGTTTCTATATGTACCAACATTGAATATGTCTACTACTCTTGTGTGTCGGTTTAAAAATAAGACTGAATAAGATGGGTGGAATACTGAAATACGAAACTAAAGTATAAATTATGTACACGATACCGCTCTGTCTGTCTACTGAAGAATGATGCGTATATTTTTTAAATATAACGACATTTGAATGAAGTGCACTGCACAGTTGGAGCCTTCTTGATTTTTTCCCCGACAGCATTGGGAAAATAATAACATTTTTCGCAATACTTCGGAATTTTTTAAATTTTATTTTCAATAATTATGCCAATAGATTTATCGACCTCACCACGTGACTAAGAGACCATTTATCCACTGACCACTATCAACCAAAATATGTATATGTCATAACAGTTATAGAACTCAAAATACATTTTTTTATAAATCAATGTATTTATATAGTAATAATATACATTATAAATATTTATCAAAATAAAAAAAAAAACAATGTTATAATGTATTGGATCGATCCTTAATTTTCTACTAAAGCAATTTAATATACGAGATTCGGATTTGTCAATCCTGACTCTTAAGTATGTGAAAAATGGAAAGAAAAATTATGTTTATAAATTGATCTGAACAGGTTTGTACACTTTGCACACAGCATATAAAAATTTGGTTCAAATGGAATATCTCTGAAAATATAACCCACGCTAGAAAAAGAAACGTCTCAAGGTCCAAGACCATTTAGATATAATCATTTATTTATTTTAATATTGTTTCTCTCATACATCAAAACAAACTACGATCATATTAAAGTGTTAATATAGCCATTGGGTAAAAGTAAGAGCACAGTCAAAAATTTGGGTGTAGTTTTTGACATAAAATTAACATTTTTACCTCTATTGAATGTTCTAGTTGTAAAGCACTTAAAAATTCTTGGGTCATGTCAAACGTGTTAGTACTCAGTTCAAATTGCTTACCACGATAAAATTATTATACCGTGCTTTGATTCGCTCTGTTTTTGAATACGAATCTGTATTGTGGGGTTCTCACTTCTCATGCAATTGGTCATACATAGTTATTTCTTGGAGCGTGAGTTATTGTATTTTGCTGGGCATATATTAAAAAAACTGTGCACCAATCGCACATAATTATTCCTCTATAATTTTTACTCTGCAATTATCTTCGTTGGCTGACAGGAGAATACAAGCTAATTTAACTTTACTTTAAATTCTAATTTACTGTCAAACGAAATATTTTACTCCCCTAATAATCCTCTCTCTCACATTAATTTAAAAATCCTTACTTTGGACAATTTTAATAATAACTATCCGTTTTATATTCCTGTTTGTAACTCAAATTATGCTGTTAATGATCCACTAGTAAGAATGACGAGGATTGCCAATACTGATCCGTCTCACTATTCTACTTAATATTCACTGGGTCTTATTGTATATATATATATACATATATATATATATATATATATATATATATACTCAGTTTGTTGTTCATTATTGATTTTTGCTGTTTTCTATTTCTTTTTATTATTATATCTTTTTATGTGCTAATATTTCGTGTATTTAAATGTTTCTTATAG